TTAAGGTTAAGGTTAAGGTTAAGGTTAAGGTTAAGGTCAAGATAAGATAAGATAAGATAAGGCAAGACAGGACAGGACAGGACAAGACAAGATAAAATAAGATAACCTTTAATTCATTTTTTTACTGTGAGCACAACGGCACACATCAAAAATGAAATTTAGTTGCCTGCTCTCAAAGTGAAACACATACATGACACACACCTAAACATACTATATGCAACATACATATAGACCCACACTGTCCATCTTGAATACGTAACGGAAGGAGGAAGCTTGAGAGTTCACAAGGTTAATGCTGTATGGAACAAAACTATGTTTGAATCTGGATGTTCTGCTTCGGGTACCACGAAGCCCCCCCCTCCCAGAAGGGAACAAGGAAAACAGGTCGTGGAGAGGATGTGTAGCATCCCAGACAATCTTGCAGACCCTGCTCAAGCAACGCTTATGTGCCATGTCCTGGATGGAAGGGAGGGAACTGCCAATAATCTTTTCTGCTGTCCTCACCACTCTCGGCACCTCCTTCCTGTCTGAAGCAGGGATGTTTCCAAGCCAGACTGTGATGCTCTATGACGGGACGCTCTCGATCGTCCCTCTGCAGAAAGTGGTAAGGACAGGGGAAGGAAGATGCGCTTGCCACCACAATGGAGCCCATTTTTGTTGCTAAGCGAGACGTTTGTTAAGTGATTTTTACGACATTTCCTGCCACAGTCCTGCCTCTGGGGGCCACTTCTACCTTTCTATTATTATTATTATTATTATTATTATTATTATTATTACTATTATTATTATTATTATTATTATTATTATTATTATTATTATTATTATTATTATCATCATCATTATTTGCCTTCTGTCTCATAGATGTACAATTGTCTCAGAACAACTAGGGTTTTTTCTGCTGTCCTCACCACTCTCTGCACTGCCTTCCTGTCTGAAGCAGGGATGCTTCCAAACCAGACTGTGATGTTCTATGACGGGATGCTCTCGATCGTCCCTCTGCAGAAAGTGGTAAGGACAGGGGAAGGAAGATGTGCTTGCCACCACAATGGAGCCCATTTTTGTTGCTAAGCGAGACGTTTGTTAAGTGATTTTTACAACATTTCCTGCCACAGTCCTGCCTCTTTGGGGCCACTTCTACCTTTCCATTATTATTATTATTATTATTATTATTATTATTATTATTATTATTATTATTATTATTATTATTATCATCATCATCATCATCATCATCATCATCATCATCATCATCATCATTATTTGCCTTCTGTCTCATAGATGTACAATTGTCTCAGAACAACTAGGGTTTTTTCTGCCGTCCTCACCACTCTCTGCACTGCCTTCCTGTCAGAAGCAGGGATGCTTCCAAACCAGACTGTGATGCTGTATGACAGGATGCAAGAGTTGCACTAATATTAAAGAAATGGTGGAATAGAACCCTTAAAGAAAGGATGCCAAAGAAGAGGGACAAAATGAAATGGGAATGGCAAAAATTAAAATATGTTTTTTTTAAAATCGATTTAAATAATTAAATTGAAGTGTTGATTGGTCCTGCAGCGGGTTGTCCCATGGCACGCTGGCTGTGGAGAGTTGGCCAGGCGATCACCATTTGCAACCTTCCCAGCTGGCTTCTGACAAGCAAAGTTAATGGGAGAAGCCGGATTTGCCTAACCACCATGCATTTCATTTAAAAACTGCACTGATTTGCTCAATGGCCGTGTCAAAAAAGAGGCACCTGGATGCTGCAATGTGATGCAGGCTCAGCTTTCCTCCAGAGCAGTGTTTCTTAACCTTGACAATTTTAAGGCATGTGGACTTCAACTCCCAGAATTCCACAGCCAGCATTGCTGGGAGTTGAAGTCCACATGCCTTAAAATTGTCAAGGTTGAGAAACACTGCTCCAGAGGCAATCAGATGCTATTCTCATGATCGTTCTTGTCCTGCCCTCAGGTGCTTTGGATAATAGCTTGAAGAAGGAGTCAAGCTATTCTCCAAAGCACCTGAAGGCAGGACAAGAAGCAACGGATGGAAACCAATCAAGGAAAGAAGCAACCTGGAACTAAGGAGAAACTTCCTGACAGTGAGAACAATTAACCAGTGGAACAACCTGCCTCCAGAAGTGGTGAATGCTCCAACACTGGAAGTTTTTAATGAAAGATTGGACAACCATTTGTCTGAAATGGTATAGAGTTTCTTGCCTGAGCAGGGGGCAGCGGGTTGGACTAGAAGGCCTCCAAGGTCCCTTCCAACTCTGTTTCTATTCTATTCTATTCTATTCTATTCTATTCTATTCTATTCCATCCCATCCCATCTCATCCCATCCCATCCCAGGCTCTGTTGTCTCCATGTAGCCTCTTTAAAAAATGGTGCCCCCTACAGGATCTTGAGAGTAGTGCCTGCTTGCAGAAGAGCACCTGGTTGCTACAAGGCAGCCTCTGTAGCGATGGCCAAATCTGGCTATAGGTTCTGCCTCGGCTTATTTTTTCCAATAAGTAACCAGGTTGGAAGATAGTTTAAAAGTAATTTATCAGTGTTTTCTGATAAAGTGGGGTCTCCCTATGAAAAGGGGGAACCTGAAAAAAGGGCTTACACTGACTTCTGTAGTTAGCACAACAAAAAACTTCAAAATGAAAGTTGATCAGTTTTGAAATAATCATCTGTCCTGTCCAGTTACATTAGGGGTCTTCAAACTTGGCCCTCTTATGACTTGTGGACTTCAACTCCCAGAATTCCTCAGCCAGCATGCCTGGCTCAAGAATTCTGGGAGTTGAAGTCCACAAGTCATAAAAGGGCCAAGATTGAAGACCCCTGAGTTACATCATAAGAACCTATTCTTCGAAACACATATTCTCCAAAGGACATGAAGGCAGAACAAGAAGCAATGGATGCAAACTAATCAAGAGTGTAAAGCAGGGGTCTTCAAACTTGGCCTTTTTGTGACTTGTGGACATCTCCTGCTTGGGCAGAAGGTTGCCCTAGAAGACCTCCAAGGTCCCTTCCAATTCTGTTATTCTGTTGTTCAGTTTCAGAAGCAGAAATGTCGATGGCTAATTTCATACAATGCAAGAAAAAACCAGTTAAGTAAGAAAGGGGAAAAAACTGCAGGTTGTGTGTCAGCAAATCCCCAGAAGAAAAATTCTGAAGGATTTCAGAAGGACTCACTTGACGGAGCACTGCCCAAGCATTTGTGATCTTCAGGTTGCATGACAACGGCAAGTTTTGTTGTTAGAGTGAGCAGACTTTGGGATTCCTGTTGAACCACGCAACTGAACTGTGAGTTGTTCCTGTCTTCCGTGGCCACCACCTCCAGGTAGGTATTCAGGGAAAAGGTCTCATCGGGATTCGGTGTCCTCAGGCCAACTGTTCCTTTTCTGTTTGGGGCATTGTTGAAAAACAATTCCAAGTTTGCATCATCTGGATAAAATTCTTCCACACTGCAAGTGACCGTCACAGTGGTGTTCAGCTGGATGGGGGGAGGTGGGCTGGTCTCCATATGGACTTTGGGAGGAACTGAGCAAAGAAAGCCAAAGAGATCGGTCAGAAGAGCTTCAGACTCACGGGTCCTACATGCAGAAGAGCCTAGAAACCAACTTCTTTCTGCTCTCCCATTGTGGCATTGGGGAAACAAGAAGGTCCTCTGAACGCAACCCTGCTGTGAAAAATCCTGAGTAGGAAGCCCAAGATAAAAACTTAACACTACCAGCAAAGAAAGAAAGAAAGAACTCCGCCCAATTCCCAGCAACTCTGTGTCGTCGTTTCTTTGTTCCACGTGTGTTTGTTAGGTTTCTATTCTGCCCTATGTTTAAATGCAAGCTTCTCACCCACCTTCTTAAGGAGAAACTTCCTGACAGTGAGGACAATAAATCAGTGGAACAGCTGGCCTCCAGAAATTGTGGGAGCTCCATCACTGGAGATGTTTAAGAAGAGGCTAGACAATCACCTGTCTGAGATAGTTCTCCTGCTTGAGCAGGGGGCTGGACTAGAAGATCTCCAAGGTCCCTTCCAGCTTCTCTTCTCTTCTCTTCTCTTCTCTTCTCTTCTCTTCTCTTCTCTTCTCTTCTCTTCTCTTCTACTCTACTCTACTCTACTCTACTACTCTACTCTACTCTACTCTACTCTACTCTACTCTACTCTACTCTACATTCTACATTCTACATTCTACATTCTACATTCTACATTCTATTCTACTCTACTCTACTCTATTCTACATTCTACATTCTACATTCTATTCTATTCTGTTCTGTTCTGTTCTGTTCTATTCTACAGTCTACAGTCTATTCTACATTCTACATTCTACATTCTATTCTATTCTATTCTATTCTATTCTATTCTATTCTATTCTATTCTATTCTATTCTATTCTACATTCTACATTCTACATTCTACATTCTACATTCTACATTCTACATTCTACATTCTATTCTACATTCTAATTCTATTCTATTCTACATTCTACATTCTACATTCTATTCTATTCTATTCTATTCTATTCTATTCTATTCTATTCTATTCTATTCTATTCTATTCTATTCTATGACATATATTTTGCCCCCTAACTCAAAGACTCCTTTTTTCCCCTGAGCAAAGATCCAAAGGCAAAACAGCGCAAACCGCTAAAACAAAGTGAAACAATTCCAGAACAATCAGGATTAAAATATAGCTAATTAGCTGGGAATTTTACTCAACTGGATCCAAGTCTCTGGGGAAACAATCAGAGGCAGAAAGTCTTTCTACACCAGGTCCAGACTCCATGGCCTGGTCCCTCTCTGCAACCCAGAACTCTCCTACCTCTTAGGACATCACCAAGTGGGAAGGACTGCTGGAGGGGAGCCTCCAATGATCTGTGTTGGATCTGGCAGGTCAGCTGAGACCTCACGTCTCCTTGTTCCAGCGGGATTTCCACCGTGCTCTCTGCTCGGTACGAGATGCTCTCTGTTCCATCCAAATTCAGGATGTTGGTCTGGGCAGCCTGTATTTCTTTTCCATCCTTCAACCAGCTGACTGTGATCTCTGGGGGGGAGAATCCCTCTGTGGAGCAGTTGAAGGTGGCCCGAGACCCTGCTGCGACTCTTCTTGTGGGGCCATGAACCACAGGCTGCGATGGCATGGCTGAGGGAGAAAGTAGAGAGAGACATCAGTTGATGTTCCTCAGAGATAATACAGGAAGCTACAAGGCTGTGTTTGGTTGGAGAGACTCAACTTCAGAACATGAGATTTACTCCCACATGTCTCTCGGTTGACTGGGAACATCTCCCCCCACCCCAAAAAGCAAATGGGTGGGCCACCTACCAATTACGAAGACCTGAGTGCCTTTCCCCGAAGCCAGTTCTCTCTCTGGGAACCCTGCCCTGAACTTCACACAATAGTAGGTCCCGGCATCTTCAGGACGGATGTTTGGGATATTGATGCTAAACTCCGTGTTGGATCCTGGGACTAGCCTCACCCCCCGATTGGAAATTCCTTGCTTATCGCTGTAAATGGGGGGCTGGTTTCTGTCCAGCCCTTTGAACCACCGCACGCCTCCGGGTAAATTTGCCCCAATCAGTGTACACTTTAGAGTGAGGCTGTCTCCAGCGTTCACCGATATGGTTTCTGGAAGTTGTGTTACCTCCGTCTTCTGTCCTGTAACAACTGAAACAAAAACAGAGATGTTTGTGACTAGGTTTCCTTTAGAAAATGTTCATTATTCTTCGGGAGACAGAGGACCACTGGTGGTGCTCTTTCTACATCTACAGTTCCTTACATCAATATCACAATCCAGGAAGAAGAAATTAACAGTAAACAACAGTATAATCTAGGCACCACCAAGAACACTCCTACTAACATTAATAGTAGCAAACCCACTTCCTTCTAGCATTGATGATGTTACCTAGTTGAGTAATGAAATGTCTGCAAGAACACTAAGCTCAGAGACCACCAAGGACCCTACAGTCCTCCTCCTCCTCCCCCCTCCTCCTTATCCACTCCACAAACTCCACTCCCTTCTTGGACTGATGATGTTACCTAGTTGGGAAATGAAACCACTAAGGACCCTACAGTCCTCCTCCTCCTCCTCCTCCTCCTCCTCCTCCTCTTCCTCCTCCTCCTCCTCCTCCTCCTTCTCCTCCTCATCCAATCCACAAACCCCACTCGCTTCTTGCAGTGATGATTTTACCGAGTTGGGTCATGAAACATCTGCAAGAAAACCACCAAGCAGAGAGAGCAGCAAGGACCCCACAGTTCTCCTCCTCCTCCTCCTCTCCATAAACCTCACTTCCTTCTAGCACTGATGATGTAACCTACTTGGGTAATAAAACATCTGCAAGAAAAAAACCATGGACTCCACTGTTCGACCCTGAAGTACAAATATTCTCTTTTATAGGGACCAGTGCTTCATCTGGGCTGTTCAAAAGGTTTTGGTGCTCTTTTGAAAAAAAAAGAAAAGGTCTGTATTTAATCTAACAACCTGAGAATTCTCTCTCAAAAGAGAGGAGCAGGTCTGTTCAATTAAACTGTCAACGTTACTAACATCGGACGTTCTTGCTTTGGCAACAGATGGAAATGCAGCCATCTTTTCTCTTTCGCTTTTAGAGTTTGTTGATGCTGGGAGGGGGAATGTGGATGAGAGTCCAGCTAGTCATAACAATAATAACTCCGCCGTGGGAACCCAAGGTCATTGGGCCCAGAGCTGATAGCGTTTTGGCGGGCTGGAGAGCTGGGGAGAGAGCCCCCTTCAAGCTAATTGGGGAATGTGATTTATAAAAGTTAATTGGAGGAGGGAATTGTGCTTTGTTACTTTGTGCCCAGGGGAGGGGAATTCAATTTTTGGCTTTAACTATGTAGTGCCAATACTTTGTTTCTCAAATAAAATATTCTTTAAGGTAAACAATGCCTCAAAGTTCTTTGGAAGAGATTCATCTGTCGGATTCATGACATAAACCCCAAAAGCAAGCTAGTTTCTGCCTGCTGTGAGTTGCTGGGTCGGCTTCTAGTTGGTCAGTGTCTCACGCTTTCTGCCTTTTGAGCCACCAAAGATTTTATGAAGTTTCATTTCTGATGTTCTCTTTTTTGTTCCTTTTTTTCCTTGGATGGGGAAGCCAGTTTCCTGACTCCAAAATACTGTAAAAAATACTGCAACCAATTTGGGTCACCATATTACAAAAAAGATGTTGAGAGTTTGGAAAAAATTCAGAGAAGAGCAACTAAGATGATCCAAGGCTTGGAGGCTAAAACATACGAAGAACAGCTGCGGGACTTGGGTTTAGCTAGTCTAAAGAAAAGAAGAAATAGGGGAGACATGATAGTAGTGTTCCAGTATCTGAGGGGCTGCCACAAAGAAGAGGGGACCAGGGTGTTCACCAGAGCACCAGAGGGAAGGATGAGAAACAATGGTTGGAAATTTATCAAGGAGAGAAACAACCTGGAACTAAGGAGAAACTTCCTGACAGTGAGGACAATCAACCAGTGGAACAGCTTGCCACCAGAAATCGTGGGCGCTCCATCACTGGAGATTTTTAAGAAGAGACTGGACATTCACCTGTCTGAGATGGTATGGGTCCTCCATCTTGAACAGGGGGCTGGACTAGAAGACCTCCAAGGTCCCTTCCAGTGCTAGGGTTCCGTATGTTCTGCATGTCTGTATATCAACTAAAGTAAAAAGGTTATCTGAGGTCAGATTTTCCTGACAGAACTATTAGTCAATGGAACAGCTTGCCTCCTGGAGTTGTGAGTGCTCCATCGATGGAGGTTTTCAAGAAAAAAAAAATTGATCAACCATTTTTTTGAGATGGTGTAGGGACTCTTGCCTTGAAGAGAGGTTTGAATTGAAAGAGGGAGCAAAGAGGCCATCTAGGTCAAAATTGAGCAGTCCTCTCTCAACAGAGGGGGAGGGATACAGCATCATCTATCTCCAGTCTACCACACAGTCCTTTCAGCAGTTCCAGGAAGGCTCCACACCCATTTGCACCACACAGGTGACCCTGAGGACACAGATAAACCTCCAAGTGGCCTCAACGACTCTCTAAAACAGGGGTCTTCAAACTTGGCCTTTCATGACTTGTGGACTTCAACTCGCAGAATTCCTCAGCCAGACACACAGGCTGAGGACTTCTGGGAGTTGAAGTCCACAAGTCATAAAAGAGCCACGTTTGAAGACCCCTACTCTAAAAGAAGGCAAATGACCAGCTGTCTACAAGGAGTATAAATCCTTCCATCCTCCACCATCCACTCAGAACCTGAAGAAGCTTCTGGGATGAGAAGCAAAGGAGTTTTCAAAGAAAAACAAAGAACGTCCAGATGCCTCCTGAAAAAGCCCCTTTGGGATAACTATGACCTGGATGACTGAGAATCTCTATAGACAATGAAAGAAATCTCCCCAAATCTAACATCTGGAACTGGTCTTTGCTGGGAAATCGGCTCATCTCCCTGTTCAGAATAGCACAAGAGCTTTGAAACAGCCTTAACATTAATCTTGCACTGGGTTTTACTCCTGTTGTAAATCTGAGAATGGAGCCTGCCTGATCTCAGTTGTCAACACTCACCCAGATCTTGTGGGAGAAGGAGCAGGAACAACAGCAGCTGAAGAGGACCAGGGATTCTCTTGAAGGACCTCAAGGCAGCCATGTCGATAGCAGCAGGAGAAACATCTGGCGTGACTTTGCGTCTTGCCCACTAGGTCTGTCCTCCCGCAGGGGGAGCAAAAGAGGAACTCTCATTTCCTCCTTGTAAATTGGGACCCGTTTCCAAAGTCTGAGTTACTGCATAAGCGACAGTATCCAGTAAATGAAGTCAGAGAAGTTCTGCTGCTTACTCAGGGGGAATAAAAATCCTCTCTAAATTGGCAATATTCAGCAGCTGGTCTTTCCTTGTCATCCCCCAATTTAAAAGC